ACATATAAATACATAAACATATATGTAGTGTTATGTTAGAGAAATGAAGTTCTGTATACATTACCTGCAAAAAGTTCTTCTGCAATGCCATGCCTTTGGCTCCTCCCCCTATAGAAGACATCTCTAACATGGCGGCAATGCTCCTCACGCTGCCAACGCTGCTCGTCTCCACGGCAGCTGTCTCCACGGACACCCCCAGGTCGCTGGCCCGCCGTTGTTGGTAGTAAGGCACATCCAGCATCCCCCCAGTAGTGGTGAGCGTATTTGGCTGTGTGTTGGCTTCTGTTAGGTTGGAGTTGGAGGTGGAGATGGCTGAGCTGGAGCGTTTGGGCGGTGGTGGGGGTGGGCCTTTTTTCTTCTGACGGAGAGCAAACGACTGGCTCTGGTTTCGGTTGGCGCCCTTTTCCTGATTGCGTACAGAGTGACTACGGCTGACTCGGTGTGTTACTGTGGCGTATTTCCCTCCTTCCCCTCTCACAGCGGCTGAGCTCTGGCTTACAACGTCAGCTTCTGCTTCTCCTCCACCCCCTCCTCTTCCTCCTGCTCTCTCATCGCACTCGCTATCTGAGACAGGGTATCGGTTCAGCGTGTGAGCACGTCTATTCTGGACGGACGAGTTCTTTGGTCCTTCTTCCTCTGCTAACTCTGCCTCTGGTGGGAGACAGAGGACCGGGACTTGCTGACTCTCCCTGACCTCCATCGGCTGCATCTGTGGGTGGTGCTGAGGGTGAGGGTGAGCCTGGTGCTGCGGCGGCATTTGAGGTTGCTGCTGCTGGGGCTGAAGCTGACACGGGGCTCCGCGATGGGTTGGAGACTGAGGAGGATGTGAGCGCGGTGACTGAGGTCTTTCCCCCTGGATGAACTGTGGGGACGGCTTGGGTTTGGCCTGTGGGGAAGACGAGCTCTGCACAGATGATGTGGACGAGGATGAAGAGGTCCTGGTCTTGGTAGGAGTGTGTGGGGGTGTGTAGGGAGGTGCAGGCTGCGAGTGAGAATGAGAGTGACGATGTTTGCCTTGTGAGGATACACTGCCTCGGTGAGAGGACGTGCTTCCCTGGCTGCTCTGCTGCCTCATAGTCCGGGCCTCCTTCTTAGGTGGCCCACCTCCACCTCCTCCTCCGCCTGTAAGCACCTCATCGTGGTCTTTGCTGAGGCTGCGTGTTCGCTGAGCTTTGACCTCCTGAACTGGCTGGGTCATTGCACTCTGTAGCTCAGTGCTCAGCTCGCTGTCCTGGAAGGTGCTCATTTTGGGAGACATGACCTCTGAAGAGAGACAAAGACAAACTCAGATGAAGATAAATGAAACTCTTTATTTCACAAAAGGTTTATTAAGTAAATGAAACTCAGATGAAATGCTTTACCACTGTTACACAGCAGTTGCTTTCAATCTAGTAGCTTCATTATGGGGTCAGTCAACCTAACCCCCAAACTGCAAACTGCATGAGCTCTTAACTACTCTCAGATTTGGTCAAGTGTCAAAAATAAAGATGCTTACTAGACTTTCATTCAGGAAGGACTAAATACAGTCTTTATACAGTTGTATGAATCCACCTAGAAAAGTGAAAGGAAGCTTCTGATGTTTCCACAAGCTATCTGTAAAGTAAGTTAGGTGTCACAGATGTCAACAGATGTGCAAGATAGCCAAACCAACCAGTCTGAAAGCTGTGGTCTGATGGGGAATTTGAGATGGGCTCAAGGACTATCCACTGAGAACAAAGAAGAGTGGACCACCAGTCTATCTGACCAGCAGACGACCAAAGCAACTCTAACATGATTTATTTTTTTTACTGGTTTCACAATCAAAAGAAACATACAGATAATTCCAATTAAAGATGGAGTTAAAACTGTACAGGCTGAGATTTTCCTGAATGATCTCACCATCTGGGGGGGGACTATCCATCGACATGACTTCCTGCTGCTGCGTGATTGGTGGGGGCTTCTTTCGGAGGGAGCCCCGCCCATCTGAACTGCGCTGCATTTCAGCCAGCCGCTTCACCGCTAGCATTAGTTTTTTCTGGTGGCCTACAGCATTAACAAAGTGGAATTACAGTTTGGCATAACACAGGTAATACAAGTCAAATTCACTGAAAATTTGTTTTGTCGTCAGTGCACTTTCCCTTAACTCCTGAACAGGAAAACTAAACCTGAGTAACTGAGAAAACTGTAAGGCTACAGAAGCTAGCTTATCGCTAGCAGCTAACGCTACAGCTAACATGGTAACACTAACCAGTTTAGCTAGTAAATGTTTTATAGATGGGGAGGTGTGGGCAGAGAACTTCTAATGTAACTCAGAACTCCCACTCTTTAGATG